TATGAGCGAAGCATGTTGTGCCTTTAATTTTGTTGCACGCCGAGAGTGTGTTGCTGTTGTGCGCCATGGGAGCTCGTCAATGGCACACCGTAGGGGAGTGTGGTGCTGTTTTGTGAGGGATCGTGTTGCCATTGTTTCCTATATGGAGTAGTGTGTTACTGGTGTTTGGCGGCGAGGGAGCATGCGACTCACACCAATGGCACACCTCAAGGGAGCGTGGTGCTGTTTTGTGAGGGATCCCGTTGCCATTGTACCCATACGGAGTCTTGAAATAGTGTGTTGCCAGTGTTCGGCAGGGAGGGAGCATGTCACTCACACCTTGAGGGAGGGTGGTGGTGCCAGTATTGGCCCCCTGGAGTGGCACCATGGAGGAGTATGTGAGCCCTTGAGGGAGGGTGCTTGTCACTGTCACACGCATGGGACCTTGTCACTGTCATCGAGAGAGGATTTTGGTGTCGTTGCCACTCCAGGAAAGAGAGCATGTCATGACCTCATTGAGGGAGGATTCTAGTGTCTTTGCGACACCATTAAAAAGGAGGGTTCTTGAGGGGCATATGATGCCTTGAGTGATACGAATAAACCACCAGTACGTTTCCTAGCAAAAAAATAAAATATGTGGCTTGCATGCAGTGGCAACTTTCGGGGCTCAGCCTCCAGAGCAAAATGGCTGGCGGCGCCAGCCCAAAGGAGGCCTGCACTGGTTCCTTTTTGTGGGACTTGCAGGCCGTGTCCAGCTCCGGAAAAATGTGCATCCGAAGTACTGGTGGTTTAAGAGAGGGTGATACAACTTGAGGGAGGCTGTGGTAGCTTGAGGGAGGGTGACAAGGCTTTGTGGAGGATGCTTTGGTAGAGCGTGGAGACAGGGATATAGGAGAGGCGGCTGGTGTAGGGGTGACAAGGCTTTGTGGAGGATGCTTTGGTAGAGCGTGGAGACAGGGATATAGGAGAGGCGGCTGGTGTAGGGAGCGGGGCATTGGTGTTGAGGGAGCATATCAGTACCATGCCTGAGGGGAGGCTGTGACCTTGAGGGAGGTGGTGAACAGAGGTTTTTACCTCGAGGGAGGGCATGGCGCGCTGAGGGAGGGTGTTTGAGGGTTGTGACCCACATTTAAGGAGGGTAGGCTCTTGATCGAGCGGGGCTTAGGGAGTCGTACACAAATGGAATACACTGGTAGGGAGCACTGAGCAGGACACACCTTAGGGTTGAGTTCCAGCTTCAGAGTGTGTGACATGAGTTTGGAGATTGTGGCACAGACTCCGGGAAGTGAGAAATTATGGGGAGCGGGGCGGAGTTTCAAGGAGCGCAACAAATATTTGAGTGAGACACACAGAGGGACACAGCTTGAGGGAGTGGGACACACTGGGACATCTGAGTGAGTGGTACACAGTGGGGCACACACCTTGAGTGAGTGGGACACACCCTGAGAGGGTGGCACGTCAGCAGAAGGGGAAAGCAAACTCGCTAACACGAAGACGATGGTACACACCTCCATCATGAAGGTGATGAAAAACTTGTCGTCCAGCGAACGTAGGGAGGAATGTGATGGGGGTACACAAGGAGACAAACACTCCCAATTTAGGGAGTGGGGCACAGCTTGAGCATGTGACGCGTCAAAGCAGTATGATGTAAAACGCGAGCATTGTGATGGAGAGCGTCATTGGCAGACAAGATGAGACATTCGGCGGTCCATGGACCAGAGTGGACATGCTTGCGATCTACGTAGAGTGAGATCTGGTGTATGAATAGCATCTCTGATAATGAGGGAAAAGAGGATTCCGGATGTGTCATACTGTCACTCAAGGTGCTGCCATCAATCCAGAGGGTGAAGTGGACGCACGTATGCGAGTCATGGCGGGGTTGAACCGCAGTGCAGTGCACGACATGCTTCACACGAAGGAGAGGTGGCACCCCCTCTCCATTGAGGATTAGGGGACCACACATTTTATATGGTGTGTGAGCTGCAAGCAAGGGTGGCACAAGGAGGGGGAGAATATCAGGACTATGGTATGATTGCGTTATGATTGCGTCTAATCTGTGTAAGAGGGCATGTGACGGATTGGGTCATGTGAGTCATATAAGAGAGTGATGATAGGGTCGAAGACACGGAGTGACTTTTTGACAACGGCACTGTTGTCTGTCTGGATTGAGCACAGTCGTCTTCCGATTGCTCTCTGACAATGGCACTGTGTCTGTCTGAGGATTGAGCACTCACCTTTCTGATCACTTTTATTCTTCATTAGTAGCTAGGGACACGGTGAGAAACCCAAAACCACTTGAAAAACTATTGAATAGAGAAGATGAAGCAGAATCGCAGTTTGTCATGCCAGCGTGAACAGCGGTGTCCTGGTTGAGTGGTAAAGCTTGTTTAAACCAGCAGTACGTTTCCTGGCCATGTTTTTTGGATTGGCCAGCCAAAAGGAGGGGCCTGCTCTGGTTTGTTTTCTTTTGCCGCGCACGCCCGCAGGGCATTTCCATCTGCGGATGATAGTGCCTACTGTCTTCACCCGAATAGAAAGCCCGGTAATTATTGCCGCCGTATCTGGGCTGAAAGTTGTGCCAAATACGGCTATAATGACCGGGCGTTCTATTCGGGTGAAGATGGTAGGAAGTACTGGTGGTCCAACTGTGCCCTGCACAGGAAAAGGCAAAAGACTGGTTTCAGTGTGTTTCTTTTTTTTTTTTTTTTTTTTTTTTAAGCCCAACCAATTCAATTACCTGTCGAATCTGGACTTTTTTTATTGCCATTATAGTATTACGGGAAACCCCGTAGCAGCCACATCTGTGCTCAAGCCTCCAACGAGGGAACATGCGGGAGCTGCACCCACCAGCAGGTGTGACACCTGCTACAGCAGGTGGGCGATACCGGCCAGGGGTCAGGCGGTCGCATCAGGACCGAGCTTCTTCGATGGGCCAGACCGAGCTTCTTCGATGGGCCAGTTACTGTGCCTCCCCTCCGGTCCCCTCCCCCTATGAGCATCAGCAGTCTCTGCTCAATGCCACTCGGGGGGACCAACGACATATTTCTAGGAGGCGGGCACCAAGCTTGCCCAGGAAGGTACATGAGGCTAACGGGGATTGAACCCAAGACCTCCTGAATGCCACTTGCGGGCCTTTCCAACTGAGCTAGGCCGCTGATCCATATTGTCTGCTTCTTTTTTTTGTTTTTTTCTGTTTTTTGTTTTCCCTCCGTTTGTTTTTCAGAGTGTGTTGTTTAGTTGCTATATATAGGTGACAGTCGTTCTTCTGAGGCTTTACCCGGGTGATACTCACATCAACTGTCTGGATGCATCTGACTGCTTCTACGGCCAGATCCGGATGCACCTGACCGCACACACACTCCTCTTAGAGGGTACGTACGGATGTACCTGACCGCATGTACACTTCTCTGTTAGCCAGTACGTGGATGTGCTGATGCTTAAACCACCTACCTACCTTGCCGTCCCCAGCTATGCAGACCTCTGACAGTTGTTCCATTGTGAGCAAATTTAACTTGGGGCAGGCAGGCCCATACGTCGATGACACTGACTGTCGGTGGGTTAGTGGTACGCCTTATGTGGGGTTTGTGTGTAAGTGCGCTCATCCATGCCAAACATGTGCGAATGTCGAGATGCAGCCCTTGTTTTTTTTTTTTTTTTTTTTTTTTTTTTT